CGTTTATCAGTCAGAGAGATAGCTATATAAGTATATACAGTAGGGTGGTAAAAAAACGGAATTTTAATACCCTCACCCCTTAGGATTGTTCTATATTTTTTTTTTTAAATCAGAAAATATTTAGAGGTCGCTCAAAGCGTTCAAAGAAGAAATGGTATAGAAAGCTTAAAAACCAAGACGTTTCGATCTGGAAACTCTATTTCTCTTCAGGAGACTTCCAACAATATCTAATACCCAGCTGTTTATTTAACAATTTTTTGATATCAATTTTTTTATAGATCCCCCAAAAAGCCCCAAAAAATGCAATAGGGGGACCCATAAAAAATCGTAAAATTAAAAAAATTAGTAGTATTATTGGAACTCTGCTGAAGAGAAACAAGGTTTTTCGATGGAAAAATACTGATTTTCAGGAATTATTATAATTACCACGAAATTTTTTTACTTTTTTCCCATATAAAGTACTTGGAATACTTTGAGCGCTTTGAGCAACCTCTAAATAAATTTTGATTTCGTATTAAAAAACGGGTATATTTTTCGATATAGAAGGGTCCAGAGAGTTAGAGCTTTAAAATTCGGACTTTACTTATTTCACATGCATTTTTGAACCACCCTGATATAAACACAAGCGTACATACATATATAGTATATGTAAATGAAATAAAAGCAATTTGTGAGCTCACAAAACGAACAACCTTGAAGTTAATATGCGAATTTACAGATAGCGGATTGGATAAAGCACCCTGCAGGAAAACCCCTTTTAAATGGAATCGAATTTGTTACCACGAATTTTTTTTACTTTTTCCCCATATAAAATACTTGGAATACTTTGAGCGCTTTGAGCGACCTCTAAATAAGTTTTGATTTCGAAATAAAAAAAACGGGTATATTTTTCGATATAGAAGATAAAACTCATCCGACATTTAAAATAGTATATTTTGCTATTCATGTCAAATGTCGCAGGCACACAGAAAATGGGAAAAATAATTCGAAAACTATGATTTCTATATTTATCCGACGGTTCTTTGCGTTTTCCGACATTTTCCCATTTTCAGGTTGAAAATCCAAAACGAAAATTTAACTGTTTAACTGTTTTAAGTCATCTCAATCGCAAGATCTGGTCTTGTAACATATAAATCATTAATAAATTAGTTACGCAATTTTTTTTTTTTTACAAAATTGCCAATTAAACTCGCTATATCTCAGACGTTTGTGTATCGATCCGATTGAAATTTCCACACAATGAACTACAAGCTACACTTTTTAATACTGATTACAAACAAAAATAAAGGTATTCAAACTTTTTTATGAGAATTGAGAGGGTGTTTTTTTCAAATGCAAAAGTTGTGTTATAAAGTTTGAAAACGTTTTGTTGTTTTAATACGCGCTCTAAAACGCTTTATAACCCAGAAGAAAGTATCTTTTTATTAATGATTTCTGTGTAAAAACACCTGATTATTCCATTAAGATGACTTAAAGCAATAACAATATGCTCGACACCGCCTTAAAAGTATTTGTCTTGTTTGATTCCCCTTATTGTAATATTTCATTTATTTTGTCAATTGAATTAAATAAATTTTTTTTTTTTAAGGGGGAACCCTCCCTAACAATATTTTCGGCAGCAAACTTCCCTAAACCTCTTCAGTTTGATACCCATATTGCAATATTTAATGTATCTTATTAGTTGCATTGAATTAAAATTTTCAAAGATGTGGCAACCTCCACAAAAAGATTTTTGGCTGTAAGCCTTCTTAAACCTCTTTTGACAGCTATATTGCAATATTTACTTTATCATATCAATTTACTTAAACTGCGAATTTCAAACAGGT